TTTACTAACTCTCAAGTACGGTTCTTCTCAAGGGCCCCTAGCTCTTCGTGCATCGCCGTTTTCCACTTTAGGTCTTTCTTAGCAACCTGCCAATTGTTAGGTACAGTAACAGAGTCCAATGATGCAATGAATGCTCCATGTGCAGGATGAATGTTAGAATATGATACAAACTGGGCAAGATCCCATCCATATCTATCGGGAGGGTTTCCCACATTACTACGAGTAGTCCTCCGTACTGATATTGGTGTGGGAGGAGTAGGGAGAGGAATGTTATCACCTTAGGATGAATCTGGTGGTGGTGTCGGTGTCTCAGGAGTCGGGGCAGGCGTTGGCAAGAGACTTGGCAGCACTAGTGGCACTGTAGGTACTGTTCCTGCAATTTGCTTCCCCTTCCTACTATAGGTTAGTAGCTCCCCCTGAACTGTGGGCCTAACACCTCTTGTCTCATTTTCCTTTTCTTCTTCATTCTCCTGCTTCTCCTCAACCAATTCTCCCTCCTAAGGAATCGATACAGAAATTGATTTATCCACGTTGTTCACCGATCTCTCACCATTCTCCTCCTCTCGCCTCATACTTCTAGTATTGGGCGAGTTACCAACGGATGAAGTTACCTTCCAGGTGTAATATGGCTCGAGTTCTCGAAAGTGCACATCCATGCTCACAAACAACCTTTTCTCCACCGGGCTTCAGCAAACATATCCCTTCTGAGTAGCAGAATATCCCAAAAAGATGCACTTCACAGCTCTAGGAGCAAGCTTCCCGATGGATGGCCTGTTGTCCTTCACAAAGCACACACAGCCAAACACTTTAAATGGAAGTATCCCACCATTATCTCTCTTCAACGTCTTATACAGAGACTTCCAATCCAGTACTCTCGAGGGCATTCTGTTGATCAGCGCTGCTGCGGTCAATACTGTTTGCTCCCATAATGTTTCTGGAACATTCATAGAGATCATCATGCTTCTAGAAACCTCTAAAAGATGTATGTTCTTCCTTTCCGCTACCCCATTCTGAGCTGGTGTGTATGGACATGTTGTCTGGTGCTGTATTCCCTGAGCTGACAAATATTCTTCAAGCGCTCTGTTGGTATACTTTGTCCCATTATCCGACCTCAATACCTTCACCACTGCTCTGTATTGAGTCTGAACATTCCTATGAAAGTTTTGGAAGCAACCAAACACTTCACTCTTATTTTTCATCAGGTATAACCAAGTAACACGAGAGAAACAATCAATAAAGGTAACAAAATACTTGTATCCATTCATAGAACTTGTGAAACAAGGCCCCCAAACATCTGAATATACCAAGTCAAATGCATGAGAACTTCTATGATCAGAACTAACATAAGAGCTTCTAGTAAGCTTTCCAAACTCACATGCATCACACACAAGTTTTTGTTTATTTGCTTTCTCAAATAAAGATGGATACAATCTACTTAAAACACTAAAGGATGAGTGTCCCAAACGCTGTTGATGAAGCATTAACTCACTCTCAGCACTCATTTTAGATCCTACTCCTGCTTTCTCTACGATTGACACAAACGTTGAATCCATCCCTTCACGATCCAGATACCACAGTTCACTACGCCATGTGCCAGTCCCAAGTCTCCGCTCTGTCCTCTTCTCCTAGAAAATCACCTTGGGAATATCAAAAGAAACAATGCATTTTAGTTGGAGGATGATAGCACTAATGGACAAAAGATTAACTGGAAAGGAAGGAGCATGCAAAACATTGGACAAAGTTACAGAACCAGTACAATCGACTGTACCCTTACCAACCACCGGCTGAAATGTACCATCAGCTATTTGAATACTATCAGGCGATGCTAGGTGAGTATATGATGAGAACTCACTAGCATTACCTATCACATGTCGAGACGCACCAGAGTCGACTATCCATTCTGATGATCTGTCGGGAGACATAGAAGCAAGAGCATGTATGTCATCAGTACCTTTGGTCCGATGAGCATAGGTAGCAGTGTTGCCTCTGGCGAAGAACGAAGTGGATGCCTCCTCAGTCCCACTCCTCAAGTCTCCATCCCCTGCTACTTTTTGCTTCCTCCTGAGTATCGCCAGGAGAGCATGATCCTCCTCAGTAAAGACCACCTCAGCTTCTTCTTCTCCCTCTGCTACCATCAGATTCGCCCGGTTGCGTACTCCTCTTTCACCTCGTCGATCCCCACGGCCACGACCACGACCTCCGAACTGTCCATGTCCACCCGAATCTCCTTCCTTGGGTGGCTTGGGAACTGTCCATGTCCACCCGAATCTCCTTCCTTGGGTGGCTTGGTGCAAGCATGCCTTAGATGACCCACTACACCACAGTTGTAGCATTGCCGAGTCTCTCCCCAGGATCAAGTGTTGCTAGAGGCTGCCAGTGCTGACTTCACCACAGGAAGTCCACCTGTCCCCGCCTACACCCGAATGCGAGTCTCCTCCTGGATCATAGCAGAGACAGCCTCCTCAAGCGTGGGAATCTTCGGCTGAGCTAGCAGCAATGTAATTCGCTGAGCGAACTCTGATGTAAATCCCTTGAGAAACACCATAGTCCTCTCTTGTAGAAAGGCCTCCCGTTCTTTACATCCCGGGTCCTTACAGCTCGCCTGAAGTGAGAAGTGATCATAATCTACCCACAGCTGCTCTAGCTCTGTGGCATACTCCTGTACAATCCTATCTCCCTGGACTGTGGCGTCGATCTCTCCCTTAATCTGGAACACCCTCAGGTTATTCCCCACTCCATCATAGGTCCTCCTTAACTTTTCCCAGACGTCCTTCACCTTCTCAATGTTATCCACTGTGGCGGCGATCGACTGGACCAACGAGTTGAGGAGCCAGATGTACACCAACATATGAGTGGACTTTCACTCATCTCTTCCCTCCGAGTCCTCATCCGGCTCTATCGCCTCTCCTGTCAAGTAACCTTCCAGGTTCCTCCCTGCAAGGGTGTATCTCACCCGTCGCGACCAGCTCAGGCCGCAACCAGTTCAGGTAAGTACTCGGTCCATCAAGCTTCAGATTGATGGTCAGAAGCTCCAACTTCTTCAATGGTTTTGTCGCGCTCTCACCAGCCGACAACTTCATCAGCTTCATCAAAGTTAACACCTCCGCGGGGTTCAACATCTTGATGATCTCCTCCATCGATCAGGCTTCAGACCCAACACCTATTCACCTTCTCTTCCGACCCTTGTTGTGTGCAGTGAAAATTTCGGTAGCACCTCTGCTGCACAACAAGAGTAAGATCTCAAACAAATTCTCGTTTCTCAGAGGAAACAAGAATCAATTTTAATTGGCATTTAATCGGATTAGATTAGCATAAGACCCTAATCACCCCTCCTCTAGGGTCTAACACAGAGAACACCCAAAGTTCAGGGGGTTAAGTAAAATCTACCCTTTTCTAAATCCAAAAAGGACCAATTGAAGCATACAAATATAGAAGTACTAAGATAAAGTTCAATACAGAAATTTATATGCATATGCAAAAGCACAATATCTAATTTTGGGAAGTATTTCCAATTCTCAATAAAACTTTGCCAAATGACTCCAAATGGAAATTTTCATTTAACCCTTATCGAAAGGTTACCTTACATGAACCATTCATATTTAGGAAATGTCATCCCCCTCTCCCTCATGCATGACTACATGGAAAAGTACATCATAAAAAGGGTAAAAGCCTTTCATGAAAGAAGAAATCAAAGATGCCAGCTCCACTAAATTTTAATATATCTCACTAAAAATAACTTATTATATGTCAGAAAAAAGGAAAAATTTTTGCTGCAATTTGTTTAGCAACAACCTTACATATAATTGAGTTCAAAGATTTTGGGAGCATAATTAGTCTCCATGAAGTAAAACCTTAATCTTAATAATCATGAGTAAAAGTTTCTAGTATGCATCAGCAGATGAGTATTTTGAAAGCTAAAACCTGTTTCTAGGAAGCAAACAAGCACTGAAGTAAAGTTTTTAGTATTCAGTAAATATTTAAAATTTTGCAAGCAGAATAGGCAAGATGAAGTAATTACCTAACACTTGACATCAGCCATGAGAATCAGTTGAATTGAAAACCCTAATTCATTGCTGAGATAACTTGGGCTTATATAGGCCCCTACAAAACACAACTTACAAATATGTCCCTATATATATTACTAATATGTCAACACTCCTCCTCAAGATGGGCGAAAGATATCCACTAAGCCCATCTTGTCACATTCTCTAATCATATCTAATGAGCTAAGTCCCTTAGTCAGACAATCTGCTGCCTGGTCTTTAGTTAAAACATGACTTAGCTCCAGTAGTCCACTATCCAACTTCTCTTTGATGAAGAACCTATCAATCTCGATGTGTTTGGTTCTATCATGTTGTACTGGGTTGTTGACGATACTGATAGCTGACTTGTTATCACACCACAACTTCATCTTAGCTCCTTGATCCAGCTTCAGCTCCACCAGCATACTCTTTAACCATAGCAACTCAGCAACTCCGGCTTATATAGGCCCCTACAAAACACAACTTACAAATAAGTCCCTATATATATTACTAATATGTCAACAAAATCACAAGTATAACTTTTTAGCAATACATGCTAGTAAAAGGGTATAAAGTTTTGCAAGATAGAATTGATGTGATTAAAGCTCATGGCATAATTAGCATACATCATTACATTAATCAAAATTGGCTTTCATTAAGTAAGCAAACATTTCAGTTCAGCACTAAGCATAGGAATCATGAGTAATGCAATGTTACAACTGCCTGTCTTGAAACAAACAACACTTAAGCATCAGGCACAAGAATCATGGCATTTATAAAAGGCTAGTATTTGGTAGCTCACAAGGAATTTATGGGGAACCAGAAACATAAGAATTGATGCTGTAATGGTTCTCTCCACGAACTAGACTACCAGTAAATTAAATTCCCCTCTTTTTCAATCTGAAAGCTTCATCACTCGCTTAAACAGCTTATCTCATAAGCATGCCTCAACAATAACCCACCAAGAAACCCGCAATCATTAATAATTTTCGTTGAAGGGAATAGAACTCGCTTGTAATCACAAGAATAAAATAAGTTCTGTAATTGGAACCATTCATGTCAATCTTAGCCTAATTCTTTTTTTTTCTCTTTCACGATTCTCTTGTGCTATACATATGTTTTGCAAGTTGAGATGATTCATATTAGTGGATTGTTTTATGTAACATGTGCCACTCATAAAAAGAAAAATGCTCAAATGTTCTTTTGTGATGACTATGTGAAATGAGTAACTAAATTTGAACCAAAAGATACTTTTTTCAAGCAACCGATGGAAGCTCAGTGTTTCAGGTAATAAACGATAGTGGTGCGTAGAATATGCTAAAGTTAGAAGAGAATTCCTTGATCATAAAATCCTGGGCTAATGCTCACATATATATTACAGCGAAGGCCAAGAGATTTATTAAGAATAGGTGGGATAAAGATTGCTTTCAAAGTCCACTATAAATAGGACTCTACACAATAACAGTCTCAGTTAGCATTGAGAGCTTAGTCTTATCCCTAAACTTGAACAATTAATGGGGCAGAGCTTGCGGTTTCCAGTTGGAATATTAGGTATTTTTCTCTTCAATCTCCTTTATATGATGCAAGGAGAGAATATTGGCTGTTCTAATAGTTTATCATCTATATTTTGCAGGGAATGCAGCTTCCTTGTTCCTTTACACAGCTCCTATGTACTTCGTCCTCTATATCTCGCATTCTTGAGTTCATATGAACAATCTTATAGTGACACTAAGTACCACAACTGGTTCTTGTTTGTTTGTGCAGATTTACTTTCAGAAGAGTTATAAGAAAGGGAAGTACTGAGGAGTTTTCGTGTATTCCTTATATCATAGCTCTGCTGAATTGCCTCCTATATACATGGTTCAGTATGCCAGTGGTAAGCAAAGGTTCGGAGAACTTTACAGTGGCCACCATTAATGGCTTGGGAATCCTGCTTGAGAGCTCGTTCATTATAATCTATATATGGTTTGCATCACCAAAACGTAAGGCAAGAATATTTCTCTCTTATTGTTTCGAGTTTCTTGTTAATATGGTTTGCTGACAGTTTTATGCCATTAACAGATTTTTTTTAAACCTCAAACAGTCATTTTGACATAAATTAGTCTACAAGGTAACAATTAAGTTGATGAAATTCTTCATAGTATCTCATCAAAACTGTACTGTGTTTGACTTAAATACTTTATTTATTGCAACTTTTATCAGTATTGTGTTTCATATAATAAAACTGTAACTGCATCCCGGCCTGTACTTGCTCAAAACTCACGTTTGTGTGTGTGTCAAAATATGTTGAACGTTTTAAACACAACTAAGCAGGGAACAAAGTTTCGAAAGTTTTCAGTGAATTAATTAAATATGGTCAGAAAATCAAGGTAAATACTTGTAGCCGATCACCCTGTTTATTTATTGGCATATAATGTTGTAGGGTTTGATCACGCATTTTCTGTAGCTTATATCCCACTTGTAAACCTCAAGCATATTCTCAATAGGCGAAGGGACTCTAAGCGCATAAACAGTCATTGTTATTCCTAATTAATTAATACCGCTTTGATTATTTGCAGAAATTAGTTATTCTGATGGTGGTGCCGGTAATTGTTCTGTTCGGTATGACTGTATTTGTTTCGAGCTTTCTGTTGCATGATCACCCTCATCGAAAATTGTTTGTTGGAAGCATCGGACTTGTAGCTTCTATAGCCATGTATGGTTCTCCATTAGTAGCCATGGTTCGTGCTCTTCCCCTTCACTATGTTATTCACTTTAGCCTGGTACTGTTGATTATAATAACAGCGTTAGTTGCACGTAGACCCTTGTAGTTTTGTTGTTTTGAACTTACTACATCTGTTGTTCGATTTATTAGATAGATCTCCTGGGTTGAACTTTTTTTGACTCTTTTACCCTCAAATAGACTCACTAGCTAGTTACACCCAGAGGCAGGGAAAAAGAGTCAAAAAAAATTCATCCCTTCGCTAAAATGAAACTACACAGAAAGTTCAAAACAATGATACTATGGAGGTCCATGTGCAATTAACCCTAATATAAAAAAAATTTTGCTGGTGTGTTGTGGTATGAATTATAAATTATATTCAACCTATCTGAAGTTAGCATAAACTCTCTACACAGCTGTGCTTATGAATGCTTAAGCTTCAATAACATCAGTTGAAAAAGAGGTCGCAAGCAACTCTACTTCATCAAGGGATGTTTAATTATAAATATAACAATAACTTTGTCGTAGTTTCTTCCTGTTTAATTGCAGAGGCTAGTGATCAAGACAAAAAGTGTGGAGTTCATGCCCTTCTCCTTGTCATTCTTTTCCTTCCTCTCGAGTTCTCTCTGGATGCTTTACGGACTGTTAGGCCATGAGTTCTTCATTGCGGTTGGCAACCTGAAAATTCATCCGTAGCTTATGTGAAATCAAGGCTTAAACTAACTGATTAATCTCTTTTTATTTGTTGCAGGCACCCAATTTTGTGGGTACTCCTCTGGGAATCCTTCAGCTGGTTTTATATTGCATATATAACAACAAGAAGGAAACTTATGATGAATCGAAGAACACTGAGCTGGAGAAAAATGAAGAAAAACTAACTGTCTGAATTGATGGATACTGGAATAAAAGAATTTATTTGGAGCTTTCTTGAAGGGTTGAAAAGAAATCAATCCCTTCTTTTTAGCTTTCATCCTAGCAGTAATCAATATATGCACTTGTGACTGACGTTCGCATAATCTTGTCACTTGGTTAAGTATGTGAGAAGAAATATAATGCTACCACAAGGGCTTTTTTAGAGTATAAAGTTATAACTCTCAACCCTCGTCAATACGTTATGGTGGAGTGAACAAGACCATTGACATGCATGGTATCAGAGCAATCCACATTCTAATCCATTGACTGCAGATTTCTATAGTAGATTAAAAAAAGATATCACTCTCTGAGTCCAGGTTTCGACACATATAAAGTTACCACAACATGCATGAGCAAGTTGGCGTATAGAATTATAACCCAGACCGGCAAAGCTTCACTACAACTTCAGAGTTTACATCCAGGGTCTATGCCCTTCCATAAATTGGTAATTGTTTTTAAAAAGATTTCAAAATAGTGAAAGGTAAAAGAAAGAAACTTAATTTGTCACCCATAAAGCAGCTAATGTTCCATGACTACTGAAGCCAAGTATCACAGAAAAATCAAGTTATTATTCCCACATTCCAGAAACCTAAGCTCGCCTCTCAATAAACAGAAGAAGGGAAGTTCCCACTAAGGGAAATTCCCAGTACAAATACGGAAAACAAACAATATAGACTAGACGATATATAGAAATGTTAGGAGTGTGCAACTTTAGCCACCTCTAGCTTCAAAATTTTCTTGGAGTAACCATCAATTATAGAGATTATCCAGTTACTTCGAAAATCCCATGTTCATCAGCATCTTGAATATATCTTCTGGCAAGTAAAATGCTCTAGGATCTCAGAGAAATGACCTTCTAAGGCTTTGCTGGAGAAGGTGAAGATGGCGGCTTAAAATCTGGATACTGCAGATGAAGCGAAACATAAAAAGGTTATTCGTAAACGAAACATAGCAAAACTATTAAGGTAGAAATAAACTATTTGTTAACATTCTAAAAATGTTCATTTCTCCTAATATAATGTCAACTATGATGTCCATGTCCTAATGATACGACGCGTGATGCCTCATAACTGATCTGCTTGCTTGAGTAAGAACTGAGATGAGATTTATATATTTATTTATATTTTTTGTTCGTGAATATATATAGAACGAGAAATTAAATATTAGAAAATAGAAACGTTTGGGAAAAAGACAGAATCTTACACATGGAAATGGTGAAAGAGGTCTCGACACACCAGGAAGTGATTCATCACTGACTTCTGATTTGGGAATTGAGTTGATAGCTGGAGGAGGCTCTGCTGGGGCCTCTTCTTTAATCTCAGGTTTTGTTTCAGGTACAGAATCAGCTTTCATCACCGGACTAGCTGATGCTGGAGATTCTGAAGCTTCTTGTGCCGGAGCTGGAAGGCTTTTTGCACTAATTGGTGCTGGTAGTAAAGCTTTACCAATCATCTAAGTGGAAAAAAAATGAGACCGTTTAATGGTAACGGGAAAAGGTTCAAATCCTTAAACCTTTTGGAGAGATACACAGTTCCATGATTAATAAGTAAAAAAAGCAATAATGGTGCTTCACAGGATTATACAGGCCCATTTTGAGGGCAAAAGGATCAGATACTGATGCGTCATAGATGACTTAAACCTTTCCGCTCAAAAACTTAATACTTCAATAAGTGTAAAAGGCAACAGATCAAGCTGTTTGCATATATTTGTGATTTTATACGGTGCATAACATTACTCAAAAACAAATGTTATCGACTCAAAAGCCCACATATTTTCCTTATCATTATATAATAGTTCCTAACTGGATAATATAGGAGTAATTTATACAGGAATGTCAAATAAATTAAGAAATCTAATACGTACTCCTTTCATTTCACTTTTCAGTTTGCAAATACTTGGTTTGAGTAAGGGGAAACATAACTTAACCCGAGGCAGCTCCTTATGGGGGTGGAGGGGAGTTGAGAAAGACCTCTATATAAAGAGAACTAATCTCTCTGAGAAAAGATAGAGAAAAAGCAATCTCTGCTAGAGCCACTCTCTCTTTTCCCCTCAATATGCCCTATTTTTCATCTTTCTTATCGCTGAAACGAAATCGGTGTGCAAGGAAACCATGATCAGTAAAAGATTCCTCAACGAAGGTTGTGAAATGACAGAAAATAAGTGCATTATTTCTGTGTCATTCCCATTCTATGTACTTATCATGATCCTATGAAACCGGAAGCAACACTCAGCTTCTGTAGGTTCTTTAAAAAAAATGTACCATAACTTTGTAAGAGAGAGAACCCTCTCAAGTAAATTTGACACTGACACCAATCACATGCCTTCTTATATCAGAGCTAATTAGAACACTAACGTTGCAAGAATTGACAATACCTTTATCTCATCAACAAGGTCTTTGGGAGCAATCTTTGTATTTAAGTATTCATCAACTTGTTGCAGAGTTGCCTTGCGTTCCTGCAAGTGGAGTATGAAGAAGAACATTAATAATCACCCATCTAGCATTCTGAGCGTAAAAAAAGAAACTATTACATGAAAATTCTAAAAAAAACAGAAAGTGAATTTGGAGAATTTCAGTATATGTCGATGCCAGGTACTAACTTCCGCGAACAACAGTTTCTTGGAGACGAACTGAATAATAGCCGCAGAACCTAAAAGCTGTAGCACAGTTTCAATCTGCAATAGTGAATAGTTATTAGTTAGTGCCGATATTGCAACAAGGTCTTCTCTACATATATTTGAAAAAGGAATAAAAACCGGCAACCTACCTCTGTAAAGGCAAACAAACCTAGGCCAGTGGCTGCTGCTAGTCCAAGAGTAAGAGGAAAACTGTCCGAGCTATCCTGCATTTATTTCCGGTGGTATCATCTTGGTGAGACTATCACAATTAGAATTTGGAGCGCATATCTCAGTGTAATCACAGTTTGAACTCTAGGGAAAATTTTGGAAAAAACCCCAAGAAGTCCGGTCAGTTTTGAGATGGACCCAAAAGGCTTGGAAATGTCACTTGACGCCCAAAAATTTTCAGACCCCTCGAAGTAAAAGTTGGGGGTTGTCTAAAAGTAGATTCAGAAAAATGCCAACCTTTTGGGGTGAAGTGATATTTCACCTTTTGGGTTATCCCAAAATTGGCCAAACTTCTCGGGGGTTTGTGAAATTAATCCTTGACTTTCATGGCCCTGTCCTTCTGTAAGCTAATTGCTCTAATGCAAACTAAGATATTAAGGCACCAATGAAAATAGAACAAAGAAATACTATATAAGTAGAACATGGTAAATTTGAAATTGCCACTAAAATCAAGTTAGCCACGTACTCCTCCCAGTGCACCCGTTATCGCGTCTTTTATTTCACTAAAATCAAGAGCTATGGACTTCTTAGGTGCGGTCCAAGGAAGCCCACTTTTCTGCAATTAAAAAGAACAAAGAAAAACCCTCAGAACGATTACATTTATATATGAGTTAACTAGCAAATTTGAAGTTACAAATTATTTATGGAGGAATTTACAAAAGCCGGAAACACAAACCAGCCATCCTCGAGGTCCCTCAGCACCATCTTTTATAGCATACGCCGCTTTAAATCCATTAGCCGTAACCAGTTCCGCAACCAATTCAGAGTTTCCGTCAAACCTGCAATTCATCCCATTATTTAATGGCCTGGTAATTATTGGAATTGAAATCATGGTGAGCTTCTATGCTCGAGCACAGTCAATTACTGTTAATAAGTCCAACATCCATAATGAAATCTTGTGTTATAGGTTACCTCAAATACTCAAATCCATATTGTTTTAGGAGTTTCCTTTATGGCTTAGTTTGTTTTGATCAAAAGTCTTACTTACATTAGATTTTGCACAACAAATCATATTAGAGGTTTATTCTTATTTGGATTATTGTTGGGTTTTAGGACATGTGAACTTTTATTCTTATTAGAACACTTATTCATGAGACAGTAAAGAGTTAGGATCTACAAGGCTATATAAGAACAGTCTTTCAAACCAGTTAGATTCATCAATTTTCAGAGCACCAATCAAGAAGAGGGAGTTCTTTTGTGAAACCTATTTGATATTCTTCTTTTTTATTCTTTTATTTGAGAAAGTTGTATTAGGCTTTTGGAGTGTGATTTAGGATTGAGTGATTGAGAGATTTCACATTGTATTCCTCACAATTTAGTAAAGCTTTTCTCCTCCTTCGCACGTGGACGTAGGCTATAAGCCGAACCACGTATATCTTTGTGTTCGTGTGTTCTTGATATTTTTCGTGTGATTGATATTAGTTTATCCTGGGAATTTTGTCATAACAAATTGGTATCAGAGCCCTCAGCTATCGATCGGACTAGAATATGACGATAACCACTACGAAGTGGGATATCGAGATGTTTTGATGACAACATCAGTTTTAGCCTTTAACAAGTTAGGATGATCTTTGTGTTAACACAGAGCGGATTGAAGAAGGCTTTATTCGAGAAGTCAAAAAAACCTGCTATTATAACGGAGGAAGATTGGAACGAGTTGGATGATAGACCTCTCACAGTGATCCAGTTATGTTTGACAAAAAAAAATTTCCAAGAAGTTCTCACAGAGAAGACAGACGCTGATTTATGGTCTAAATTGGAGGATTTGTATTTGACGAAGTCACTCACTAATTGCCTCCTCTTGAACCAGTGTTTGTAAACACTTTAGATGTTGGAAGGTACACTCATCAAATCTCATATTGGTAAATTTAATTCTGTGATTACAGATTTTAGTAAGATTTATGTTATTATTATTGTGTTATTTTCCGTCTTCCTACAAGCACTTCATGGATACTATGATTTACGGTTGAGATTCTATTAGCATCAACTACATTAAAGAAAACTTGTTGAATAAGAAGAAAATCAACAAAGAGTTAACCACAAGTAAAAGCGGCAATAAAGCTGATGGCTTGTTTGTTCAAAGAAGAACGGAAGAAATGGGCTTTGGAGGTAACATGTATAAATCAAAGCACATGAATCTAACCTGCAGATATTACAAGAAGAAAGGACACATCAAGGCCGATTGTTACAGATTGAAGAACAAAAATAAACAAGAAGAGTATGAAGAAATATCAAAGAAGGACTTCGTTGAAATTGATATTATTGAAGATGTGATTTTGTTAGCTACAGATGATATAAATAGGAGCATGAATGATTAAATTTTGGATTCAGGTTGTCCATATCATATGTGTCCTAATCGGAACTGATTCACCACTTATGAAACTATTGATGGTGGAATTGTTCTTATGGAAAATAACATCTCATGTAAGACTATTGGGAAAAGCACAATTCGGATTAAGATGCATGATGGAGTCATCTGAACTTTGATAGATGTTAGGCATGTTCTAGGTTTAAGGAAAAATCTCGTCTCTTTGGGCACTCTTAATCGCATTTGAGTGTAATTTTTCAGGTGAATGTGGAGTTCTTAGAGTTACCAAAGGCTCTCTTGTAGTTATGAAAGGAAAGAAGATTGGCAGCTTGTATATTTTATAGGGTTTTACCGTTATTGGTTGGCCTGTATTTGCATCATCGATATCAGGAGCTGATACTACTGGTTTATGGCATATGAGACTTGACCATATGAGTGAGCGTGGATTGACCGAGTTGAGTAAGAAGGGTCTTTTATGTGGACAGAGTACAAGAAAATTAGGATTCTATGAGCATTGCATCTTCGAAAAGCAAAAAAAAAGTCAGCTTTAGTATGAAAATGCATCAGACTAAAGGTACTTTGGATTATATCCATTCAGATCTTTGGGGACCTTCTCAAGTTGCCTCGAAGGGTGATAGTTCAAGATATTTATTGATATTCATTAATGAATACTCTAGGATGGTTCGAGTCTACTTTTTGAGATATAAATATAAGGTGTTTGTAACTTTTAAGCAATAGAAGTCTTTGATTGAGAAGCAGATGGGAAGGCTAATTAAGAGTCTTAGAACTGACAATGCCCTTGAGTTTTGTGGAGGAGAATTTAATGAGTTCTGCAAGAAGAAGGGAATCGTTAGACATCGTACAATCCCTCGCATGCCGCAATAGAATAGAGTGGAAGAACAGTATGAACAGAACTATATTAGAGAAAGCTCGTTGTATGATATTCAATGCAGGTTTAGGTAAGGAATACTGGGAGGAAGCGGTGAATACGGCTTGTTACTTAGTGAATCGGTCACCATCTACTGCTATTAATTGTAAAACTCCAGAGGAGGTTTGGTCCGATATGTCTGCGGATTATTCGAATCTTAGAATATTTGGTTGCCTACATATGCGCATGTTAGTCAAGGGAAACTGAACCATGAACGAAGAAGTGCATATTCCTAGGTTATGCATCGGGTGTTAAAGGTTTTAAGTTGTGGTGCCCTGATTCAAAGTCTCCTAAGATTATTATCAGCCATGATATTACCTTTGATGAGTCTGCTATGTTCCACCAGAAACCATCATCCATTTCAGTTGATGATAAGGCGCGTACTACAGAACATATGGTGGAGTTGGAAATTCGTGATTCAGTTTTTTAGCAGGATAAAACTATAGGAGTTTAGCAACTAGATTTCGTTCAAGTAGATGAAGCACCTCGCAGCTGTAGGAAGAGCGAGAATACACTATTGCTAGAGATCGGTCTAGATGAGATATCCGACCACCGAGAAGATATGAAGACACTGTAGCTTATGCATTGTCTGTTGATAATTTTGTGCCCTTCAGCTATTCAAGAGTTTCAAATGATGACTTCACTAAGCGCTACGGTCGCCGTGCGGATAATTCAGTCGATTTGTTGAGGAGGCCTCTTTCAGGTGGTAAGTTCAGGTTGGGCTTGGACTTGATCGATATGTGTCACACTTAGATGCCCTGTGCGGCTATTGGAGAAGATAAAGTAAGCTATTTTTTGGAGTGAAGGATTTCTACGCATTTGAGTTTTGTAATAGGTTGCCTTAAATACTTAAATCCATATTGCTTTGGGAGTTCCTTTTATAGCTTGGTTTGTTTTGATCAAGAGTCCTACTTATATTAGACTTTGTACAACCAATCATATTAAAGATTTATTCCTACTTGGACTCTTGTTGGGTTTTAGGACATGGGAACTTTTATTCCTATTAGAACTCTTATTCCTTAGACAACAATGTGTTGGGATCTACAAGGCTATATAAGAACAGTCTTTCAAACCAGTTAGATTCATCAATCTTCAGAGCACCAATCAAGAAGAGAGAGTTCTTTTGTGAAGCCGAATTGATATTCTTCTCTTTTGTTCTTTTATTTGAGAAAGTTGTATTAGGTTTTCAGGGTGTGATTTAGGATTGAGTGATTGAGAGATTCCACATTGTATTTCTCACAATTTAGTAAAGCTTTTCTCCTCCTTCGCCCGTGGACATAGGCTACAAGCCAAACCATATATATCTTTGTGTTCGTGTGTTCTTGATATTTTTCGTGTAATTGATATTAGTTTATCCTGGGGATTTTTTTATAACATCTTACAAGTGCATATTGTTTAATATATAGAATAAATTGAATTTAGTAAGACTTTTATGGTAGGGTAGCAGTCTATGAATTTATCTGTTTCAAACTTTTTAGATGTGTTACTTTAGTAAATGTTATGCCAAATTGGTTCAAAGACAAAAAAGCTTTCAGAACATATATAATATGAAGTGTACAACTACCTTCATATCTCAAAGGTGCATCTAAGCTTGGTCTTTATCCACAATGATTCTTCAGCACTTCAATATTTCTTGTATAATATACACAGGGTAAATCACACTAAACCCTAAAGAACTTTCAGCTTTTTGCAGTAATCCTCCAAAAGCTTTCAAAATCAATACAGATCCCCATTAACTTTTGGAATTACAGAAAACCCCTAACAAGTTTCTGCATTTTCACAGATAACCTCCATAAACTCATACCAAAAAACAACATAAAAGACATTTTTGAAAGTTACTGAGGGTTTAGTGTAATTTACCCAAAAGATATTGGGTGTTTTCAACAAAAGTTATGGGGGGTTTAGGGAAATTTTGAAAGTTACTGGGGGTTTCTACAAAACAGAAAGATCTTGACGGTTTAGTGCAATTTACCTAATGTACATATCAGTGCGCAAAGAAGGTTTCCTTAACCCTTATGCACAAACCACCAGAGTATCACGATACTCAACTCAATTATAAATTTCGAAGACGAGCCTAAATCTACGCCTCTATACAAATGAGAGAACTCAAGATTCACTATTCATACTACAGTAATATTTACTATAGCATTTTTGGAAAATTTATCCCTGTAGCGCACGGGGATGCTGTAGTATTTAAAAAATCTGTAGCAGAGGCTGGAACTGTAGCAATCCAGAAAATTTTAAAAATATTATTGTAGCATTAAAAAATCGGGATTACTATAGCAGGAAAAAATAATATATCGTGCTTTGCACGGTGTTCATGACTAGTTAAGATACAAAAGAAAATCCACATAGTACTGTAGCTGGTAGTCTGCTTCAGGCACGTTCCTTCGGTATCAACATAGTCTCTTTCTATTTCATAGTTTTCACAGTGCACACACATCTGGAAATTTGGAGCAAGGTCTTGATTAACACCAGGTCAATTCACCGTTAAGCGTCATGTTGTCATTCACAAATCCTTTTCTTTTTAGGAACTATTGACA